CTCTTAACTGTGTCAAACAGTCTTTATTTTACAATCCTCTCCAAATTTTTCAGTAAAATTTTTTACTTCATAAAGTCGAAACCAGATAAGTAAGCGCTGACGACTGTGATGATAAGCGATCAACGAGAAAAATCGAGAAAAAAATTTCTTCTCAAAATAACCAAGAAAGTTCGAAAGATATTTGGTTAGTCAAGGTGAAATAGTAAATTTGGCACGAGCGTACCACGATCAATCAGCCAACTACTGAAATTCTAAATTTTATCTTTGCGCAAACACATTTAAGTAGTTTTGATTTTCGAAAGTAATTACAGTCAATTTTAATGTATTTATAGTGAATTAGTCATCAATATTGAGCATTAGCAAAAAGAGATTGTTGCGTTTACGACACAGCTTTTCTATCAACGGTTACTGTATATTTTTGTCGCCTACAAAGCATAATCTTAAGACCTTTCTACTACGTACTAGTTTTTATCAGCTCAGTAATTTTCTGTTTCGACAAGAGATGCAATTGAATTCTGAATGTAATACAGGCACGAGTGCAGTCAGATTTTTTATTGAAATTGCAATATTTCATCAGTGCTTATAATTAAGGTGCGACAGTAAGATACATGAAGTCTTCTCTTCAGACTGCTATTTTTTGTTCTGAAAAAAAAAAAAGTGAAATTGCTAGCAGGGCGCTTACTTCCGATACCTCTTTCAGTAAAATTACTGCATTGTTGACATAAGGTCACAATAAAAACTACAACAGAAGCTGGAGCGGAAGAAAGATTTCAGTAACAGCTGCATCAGCATCCATAAACGGCAAAAAATGAAGTCTGCTCAAGGGTCTGGATTACTCTAGAAAGATTTTGAGAAGATCACTTGTGTGTTACAAGCCAGTCACAAGAAATCTAGCAAACATTAATTCAGACATCCAAAAAACACGAAGCGTAGGCTTACTTATCGCATCAACTCTATTTTTTTTATTCTTGCCTTGCTCAAGCCAAAAATTTCTCGTATTGCTGTCAAATTTATTTTAACAAATATTTAAAAAACACAATTTATCGAATTTCAACAAAAAAACGATCAGCTTTTGAAACTCTTAATAAGAAGCAAAAGTTCCTCAAGCGCATCAAAAGTTCAAAGTAGAATTTGAGAAATCTAAGTAAAACAATCACTTTTTTGACCTTTTCACTTTTTAGAGAATAAGTTTTGGTCTCTAAAAAAGAACGATTTTTGAAAATTACCAAGTGTTGTTCTATATGAATAAAAAAACTTCAGAAGCTGTTGTTTATATTCAAGTAGCCAAGTATCTTGCTACAAGGAATCGTTTTTGAGTACCTCCCTATAAGTAGATCCTAAAAAACCACCTTTAGAAGTCTTACCTTATTTTAGTAACTTTTCGGCCTGCAAACAGTTCATTGTTCTTTTACAGAGGCCTGTTCATCAGAAGTGCACTTGATAACTGGCATTTGAAAGCTGTACCTTCTAAGATCATAAAGTTTCGAAAGACATTCAAACAATAAAATATGACTACAAGGCGTTATCGCAAAAGCTGTTTAGATGGTAAGAGTAAGGCCAAAGTGTGAAGTACCAAATCGTAAAGAATGTAATGAGTAAAGACTGAGAATAAACTACAGTTCTGCAACCTGAAATACTCTCATTTTATTTAGTGATTGACAAAAACCCAGTAACAGTTTTCACTTTTTTCAAAATAAAATTTTCGAAAATTTTTCTTTACTTCTACAGACCCAGAAAAATTGCATTTGACAGCTGAACTTCCATATATTAAACTACTGTGAGTTAGAAAAGAAAGAGGAAACCCGTGCTTAACAGTTTCAAAACCTCTTTTAAATTTAAAATTTTTACTAGCTGTTTTACACTTGGGTGATTTTTGCGTCATTTTTACACGAAAACAAAAGCATAAAATACAAGTAAATTTTTTTGAGACAATAAAGCTTGTAAAAGTTTTGCTAAGGTTAAATGTATCCAAAGCAGCAGCTTTCTTCAACATTATCAAACCATCTCTAGCATCTACGCTACCGTTTTGAAAAAACTATATTATGTCGGATTCGCTATCGGTGTACAAAAACCGGTTTTTTTCCCACTATCGCTTCTTTTTCTCCCAAACCAGTGCTGTGTGTGACAACAAAAAAGAACGTGAAAGAAAATTTTTGTTTTCTGATTGATTGGTAA